ATCATAATTCTGAGCCCTATAAGTTATCAATTCTGTGGACTTAAGCAGGTCAGTTTTCCGTACTTTAGATATTTTGTATCTTACATCAGCTAGCATCTAGTTCAGAGACAGAAAAGTGACGAGTAACTTGAAATAAAAAATTCCTATTAAACTAAGTCAAATATTCTAAAGCAGCCATTCTCAGCCTGTGGATCTCAACCCCCTCAGATCAGATATCCTGCATATCAGATATTTACATTTCATAACAATAACAAATTTACTGTTTTGAAGTCACTGTGAAATAATTTCATGGTTGAGGGTCACTCACTGAAAGATGAGGAACTGTATTAAAGGGTTGTAGCATTAGGGAGGGTGAAAACCACTGCATCTAAAGGTCCTAAAATAGCAAGTACAGAATTCAACGACTGCCTCAGAGCTCAGGAAAAGTGAACAGTGGGAAAAATTAAAAACTCAAAGGACTTTTGCTAAGACAGAAATTAAGACCTCTTGCAGAATATAGTCACCGTCAGAATAAGTGACTGCCAGGGGCCAGTGTTCATGGGCCACAGCTAGCCCCAAAGCAGATCAGATGTGTGCTAATAGTTCTTCCATTTCCTAACCTGGCCAGTAGGACAGCCCTTTCTGTTGACAGTGTCTACTGCTGAGTCATCTGGAAAGAACTGGCTTCTAGGTCCCCTAACAGTAAAAAGCATCACAAGTATGGTGAATTGGAACTGGAATTGTAATAAATTCATAACTGGAATGTGTAAATGACCATAATAAGAACAACTTTAATTATTGCCACTTAAAAACCAATTATTAAGAAGAAAGCACATTGCTAACCACTTCAGCAGTATTATCTTACTCATGTCTCACTGAAATTGGAGTATTGTAGTTCACACTTTACACATGAAGAAAATCATGACAAGGCATTAATACCACACTAAAAGAGTCACTGTAGACAACCAGAGATATTGCACATACCGTGCATAAAATGCTACGTTCTCCCATCTCCTATTTGTATAGGTTTACCAGTTACATTATTTTTTAAACTTATTGTTGATTTAGTATCTAATAAAGTAATAAGTCTGACACCTTTGATAACTATGCCTTCACAATGGCACATGATCCATCCCTACAATGTTTTGTTGGCAGGAGGCTGCTTGTTCATTCCTATCTGCCCAGAAAAAAAAAATTAATCACACAGAAATCTGTATTAATTACAACACTGCTTGGCCAATAGTTTTACAAATATTGCTAGCTAGCTCTTATAGCCTATGGAGGCGTCTGTCTCTGGCATTGGCTTCTTTTGATCCTATATATTATTTCCAGCCTGGCTGGATATTCTGTTAAACCATTGGTCAAAAGCAGCTTCTTTATTAGCCAATGGTAATAAAATATATTCACAGCACACAGAGGGGAATCCCACATCAATGTTTCCTCTGTGCAATCTGTGGTGGCAAACCTCCTCCTCCTTTTCTATTTATGTATCATAAATGTCTACAAGGTGAAGCTGAAACATTCTAGATTAACAGTGAAAATCTTGACAGAAATGTCAGTGAATGGAAATAATCACATTTCTTGTGCCTTTCTAAACATGGATAATTTTTATTTGTTATTTTAAACACATTTCCTTCTCTACTGATTTTTGCTTTTCTCTTTGCTACGGGTGCTGGGTTTGTTGTTTGATTTTTTTTTCTAATTTGGTTGTTTTGGAAACTAGGTCCAGCGATACAGTCTAGATGACCTTTGAACTCATGACCCCTTGCCCTACCTCAGCTTCACAAATGCTTCACCGAGCGGTCTGTGACAGCCCTCATGCCTCACATTCCCGCTATGTGCTCTTTTTATCTTAAAATTTTTAAGAAAAACATTGCTGATTTTGAAGTTTAAGTTAATAATTTGTTTAATTTTCTAAAGATTTTTCAATTTGTTGCATTTGATGTTAACCTTTTCCCCCAGTGGTAGAGAAAGCATGTGGGGCCTCTTTACAACCTTGCCAAGCAAGGACAGTGTACAGCAGCTAGGACAGTGTCAAGCATGCATGCATCTAGATGCCCTTCCTTTCAGAACTCAGCAATGGATGAACAAATGCCAAGAACTACAACTACCTCTGTGTATACATCACTCATTTTGGATGCAGAAAGGATGGATTAAGATTACAGCAGTTTATAGTTGCTTCTGATATATGCCAAACTCATATCACATATAAGGTAAGTAAGCTAAGTGAATTAAAATCTTCTTAAGATTTTCCAAAGTATAGCACACTGGAGTTGTTGCAAAAATGCATCTTCACTCACAATGCCAATATTGCCATGATACACCAAGTGTTTATCCTGTGGCGTGCTTCTCTGTATAATCATTGTAGCCATGTCCCTGGAAAGTAGTGAGTTTAATAGTCATGAGTGCTTGATACTCATGCATGAAACCTATAGTAAACTTAATTTAGATTAAAAGGGAATTTTCTTTTACAGTTTAAAATGGTAATTTTGAAGTTATTTACCACATGAATATGGAGTTGACATTGTCCCAATGAATACCACATTTTAAAATGTTAGCATTGAAGGGAGTAGCAGTGGAGATTGACTTACCATAACAGGACCAGAATATTAAGGGGTCAGAACACACACGAGATTCATACCAAGAGGCCAAAACACACTGGGTTTGGGTTAGATTTCTTAATGTCTCATTTTGTGTATGCATGCTTTACTCTGGCTGATTTCTGTACTGAGAATTCTTCATTTAAACTTTAGTGCTGTGTTCACTGGATTTTCAAGTTTTCAGATGACCACAGTGAACCTGTGGTTTGGGTATCTGATCCTCTGTTCGGTGACTTAAGTTAGCCATTGACTGTAGCCTAAATATTTATTATTTTCTACCTTTTTGTTGAATTGCTGCCATCAAGAATGCTCTGTCTGCTGTATTGATGTAAACATAACGTGAGCCGATTGAATTGTTTTACAGGACATTTAGTTTAGGAAGCGAGGTCAGTGTCCAGCTGCTTTGTAGATAAATTTCTGTCTATAATTAAAATCATCATTGGCTCCCACATACATCAGGTAAGACTTTTTTGTTTTTAAATTTAGATTTTGATTAGCCGGGAAGAATTCTTTTTCTCCAATAATAATAATTAGCAGCATGTAAAATGAATATTTAAAAGAGATAGTTAAGTGAATAAAAATAATATTTAACATATGGGGCAAAGAAAGAATTAGTTCACTTTAGCATTGCAAATATTTAGATTTGGGTTGGGGGATGATGCTAAGAAATAAGTGGAAGAGCAACTTTGAAATTTTTTTCAGTTAAGTAAGTACAACAGCTTCATTTCTCTCAGCTAATAAAGTGGAACTTGAACCCCCAAATGTAAAACTCAATGACCAAATTTATTATTTTCTATTTATTTGTGATTTTCTTTAAATGCTATATAATATTCAGTGATTAAAATATTCTATGAAGCAACTTTCCCATGACATTTATGTAAAGCTGAAATTATTATATGTATTTCCTAATTTTAGTTATTTAATCCTTGTTCTTCCATTTCAGTGTCTGCTTCATAAACATTTAGCTTACAAAGCAAATATTTATATTCCTTAACTCTATTTTTACATAAAACCTCTTCTCACATGCCTTTTACTTTTCTACAATTTAATATGCATTTAGGATATAAATTAATCCATAGATAACTATAAATCCAACTCTCAATTCTGACTTACATAGTTTTTAATTAACATCTGGGTGGGTACTGGCCCTCTCAAAGGAGACTCCAAGTCTCATGTCTACAAAAGAATTCACAGTCTTCGGTGGAATCACTGGTTCCTGCCAATGTCATCCACCCAAGCCGTTCCCCAAATCTGGGAATCAAACATGACACCTCCTTCTATTCATACTGTCATCTGATTTCTTCACAAGACCTAATCATTTTATTCATATAAATATAAACAGGTTGTATTTATAATTTTAGCATAGAGGCTTCAGGACAGGAAATAAGTAATTTCTGGATACCTAAGAATAAATAAATCATCGCACAAAAAAAAATGAACAGATCTGAAATTATGTTCTCAGGCTGCTAAATTGATTGTTTCCTTCTAACTTTTAAGTTCTTAGTTTATCAGCCTGAGACCATAGTGATTTCATCTATAAAGAAAGAAATGTTTTTAAAATTTTTGTTAAATTATCCATTTCCTAAAAGGCTAAATTGTGATTGATTGCACAACTCCAAACTTTCAGTTACTTATAATTCTGAGATATGTGAGTTGTTTCTGCTACATACTTATCTTGTACAAGTAAAGACACTTTTGTATAATTCTAACAACCAAAGAACCAAGAAGAAGGAAAAGAAATGATCAAGAACACTGAAAGATAAAAGGCCAGGTGGTGGTGGCACACGTTTTTAATCCCAGCACTCAGAAGGCAGAGGCCAAGATCTCAGTGAGTTTGAGCCCAGCCTGGTTTACAGAGCTACTTCCAGGAAAGCTAGGATTGTTACACAGAGAAATCCTGTCTTGTAAAATCAAAAGAAAAAAAAGGAAGGAAGGAAGGAAGGAAGGAAGGGAGGGAGGGAGGGAGGGAGGGAGGGAGGAAGGAAGGAAGGAAGGAAGGAAGGAAGGAAGGAAGGAAGGAAGGAAGGAAGGAAGGAAGGAAATACAGAGAGAGAAGCCATTAATAGCAATCAAGATAATTCTGTGTCATTCATAAGATATTCAAGCCCCAAAGTAACATGCATTACCCCGTTCAGATCATCAGCCAACTAAAACTTGTTGCATGTCAAGCTCCTCATAGCTGCAGAGGATACAATGCCAACTTACCCTACTAGACGGAGCAGAGAAGAAATGTTTGGTGCTCAATAGTAATGGCTTTTACATTTCTGTTTAAAAGGATCAGTGAAGTCAGGGGTGGTAATAAAGTTAATGCCCTTAAAAAAAGGGGGTAAAGTCTTTAAAGAGACAGAGTACAGATAGTTATAGATTAAGAGAAATAAACAAAAATAAGCCACGTAAAAATGAAAAATTCACAGAGAGTCTGGATTATGTACATTGTGTTTTCTTTAAAATTTTTGACTGTGAAGGAGCTAAGTACAGAGAGACATTTCATTATATGGGCTGCTAAGCTGAACCTGCACATATGTTCTAAAGGTATCTTGACTTCAGAATTTGGATCTAAGGTTATGATGCTTTGGAAAAGTCCTTCTTTTGTTTTCACAGAGGATGTGACCCTGTGGATTGGATCTATTCCGATTTGGTATGATAGACCACGCCCTCCTGAAAGGTTGCTGTGAATACCCTCAAAAAATTACTTCACTCAACTGCCAACTGAGATGACCCTGGCACACAGGTTATACCACAAAAGACCTAATTAACGACACCCCTATTCAGCTGGTGTTTTGCTTTTCAATATGAAGTTGAGTATCATTCTTTCAAGGTCTGTGAAGAATTTTACTGGGATTTTGATTGGGATTGCATTGAATCTGTAGATTGCTTTTGGTAAGATTGCCATTTTTACTATGTTACTTCTACCTACACAAGAGCATGGGAGATCTTTGCATTTTCTGGTATCTTCTTCAATTTCTTTCTTCAGAGATTTAAAGCTCTTGGCATACACGTCTTCTACTTATTTGGTTAGAGTTACTTCAATACAGAGCTACAGTACTGAAAACAGCCTGGTATTGGCATAAAAACAGACATGAGGACCAAGACTAATAGAACCAAATTGAAGACCTAAATATCAAGTGGTGCTGGCATAACTGGATATCAACATTTAAAAAAATGAAAATAGATCCATATCGATCACCATGCACAAAACTCAAGTCCAAATGGATCAAAGACCCCAACATAAAACCAACCACACTGAACCTCATAGAAGAGAAAGTGGGAAGTACACTTGAATGCATTGGCACAGGAGAGCACTTTCTAAATATAACTTCAGTAGCACAGACACTGGTGTAAAGCAAAGGATATGGTCAACAAGACAAAATAGCAGCCTACAAAATGCCAAAAGATCTTCACCAACTTCACATCGGACAGAAAGTTGATCTCCAAAATATACAAAGAACTCAAGAAATTAGTCATCAAAAGAACAAAAAAATCCAGTAACAATGGGGTACAGACCTAACCAGATAACTCTAAACAGATGAATCTAAAGTCGTTTAATGGCACTTAAGAAAATGCTCAACATCCTTAGCCATCAGGGAAATGCAAATCAAAACAACTTTAAAATTTCATCTTACACTTGTAAGAGTGGCCAAGAACAAAAACATTGATGATACCCTATGGTGGAGAGGATGCTGTGTAAAGTGAACATCCTCTCTTGAGTGCTGTGTATAAATTTCACATGCCGCTTATTGAGAGTGGAAGAAGCAGACCAAAAATATTTCTTTAAAGAAACCATGTTTTCTAAGAAACCTTACAGGTGTGAGAGAGCAAAGAGTGCAAGGAAGGTTAAAAGTAGTTTTATTATCCCATGATTCCTGTCTCTCCAGTCTACCACGTGGAAGCTAAGTCAAGTATGTGTGTTTCAGCAGTCTCTCTTGGTGTAACTATTTATATACTTGTCTGCATGCCGTTTGCAAACTGCCTACATTTTTAAAAGTTGTTTTTCGATTCAACAGCCATGACAAAATGGTTAATGTTGTCCTTAAGTGCCACATCGAGTAGTCGCTGTTCCACTGTCAGAGCGCAGTTTGTTTGATTGACCAAAGTGATTAACCAAAGTTAGAGGCACTTTGTTTAAATTCTTCACTAGGGAAAGTAAAGCACTCAGAACCCTGTCTTAAAGCTGCAGCTATGCCACATCACAGAGCTTGGCAAGCACAGATGGCATCCCATTATTATATATCAGTGTCAGAATCATGTAAGAAACAGCAACAAGCCCCTGACGCCAATTTGGAAAAGCATTTCATGCATTCAAATGCTGTTTAGTGGAAGGGACTTATAAATCAAAACCCAAAATAATTGGTGTTCAACTTTATGAATTTCCATTATCACGCTGGGTCTTATAAAAACAAAAGCACCCGAATTATAGGCTCAATGTCCTTTATTTATGGCTAGAAACCAAATATGAGTGAGTACATCCCATATTCCTCTTTTTGGGTCTGGCTTACCTCACTCAGGATGATATTTCTATTTCCATCCATTTGCCTGCAAACTTCAAGAAGTTCTTGTTTTTTTACTGCTGAGTAGTACTCTAATATGTATATATTCCATACTTTCTTCATCCATTCTTCAATTGAAGGGCATCTAGGTTGTTTCCAGGTTCTGGCTAT